GGGATATCTTCGGGGTAGATTTAAAGAGATATTGTCCTGTAAAGTATGTCCTTTATGGAGAAACCTAAGCAGTAGCTTAAGGGCTACTTTGAAACTCTGGTGTTTGAATTTTTGAAGGTAACAAGTGCAACAAAATACAACGAAGGACGTTTTAATTCCAAAATTACAACTGTGTTAGTTAGTCTTCCCTGCTGCTATCCTAGCAGAAATGAAATCAAATACCTGAGAATTCAGGGTAGTGTGAGGGGGTGATACTGGAGATGCTGATTTTGTGCTAAAATGTCTGCAGAACACACAGCAAGTAGCCATTTGAGATTTTCTCTTAGCAATCTGAATGCTGAAACAGGGGTAAAGCAGCCAAACCCTTCTCTGGCGTTGCGCTTTCTAAAGCCAATCTAAACAGTGAGGCACAAGAGCAACACGCTGGGGTTGGCCTGACAGCATGTTGGCCTGTCAGCTGGTGGCACCTCATCTCTCTCCCTCCCTTACACCCTGGGGAAACAAAACCTGGGGTAAGTTAACGAGAGCAACAGTCTCCTGCGGGGGCCCCAGCGGTGGCTATTTGGGCTGGAGGACTGCAAAGGACATGTGCCCTGCAGCTCAGGCTCAGAGCCGAGTCCTGGTCGTGGGACCTCCATGCTGGCCAGGAATGATCTCTGTAGCCAGCTGTGAAACGGAGCTTTGTTCACCTACCCCTTGGGGGGGCATCTAAAACAAGAACGTGTAAATCAGATAATAATCAAGAGAAAGCAAGCTGTAGCTGGTTTGTCAAGAGGAGACCTTGGGCCAGAGTCCTCTCTGCCATTCACAGGTCACTGAAATCAATGGAGTTGTGCCTGCAATTACACCACAGGGAATCTGGATCATTTTATTTGAACTGTGGGAAGTTACTGAACAGTAACAACAATACAGAGGAAAATTGCCTCATTTCAGGTTTTATTAAAATCCCCAACTTTGACCATGTTCATCGACAGGTTCTAAACCAACAGTGGTGCCTGAGACCATTGAAGCCTTTTGGGTGGGCAGCGGGGAAAAATTAGTCAGGCAAAAATTAGTATCTTCAGCTGAGGTTTTCTTGATGTTCCTGCATTCATAAGAACTGCAATCAGACAGGAGGAATTTGAACTTCCTGAGGTCATTTGGAGAGTCAAACGAACATTTATGGGTGCACAGTGAATGTGCTTATGATGGAACCAGAAATGGAGTGACAAATCCAGAATGGCATCCATACGTAAGTCATCAGGAAAAGAATGAGTTGCAGCTGGAACACTGACTGAAGGAAATTCCCTGTCTGTCTTAATTAATTTCTGAAATGCAGAGGAGAGTCTTAGCTGCAAAAAATTGAATTTTAGGAATGATCAAATCCTAGGAGCTGTGATTTGGCCCATTGCAAGTAACAATGACCTCCTGAAAAAATTGAAAGCTGAAAATAAATCAAAAAACCAGAAAGTTTCATCTCATGTCTTCTCACAAAAATATTGCACTAAAACTATACTTACCACCCATGATAATGACTAGAGGTATTTTAAATGATCTTTTGAAGATCATCTACCTACTTTGAGTGGTCTAATACTATAGAAAATACAACAGTGGAAAGAAGCATCAGATAATCTTTCTGGGTTACACTGAAATTAAATCTTTGGGTTTTGGAACAGTGGCACAAGGTAATTAACATGCATGCTGTTGGCATCATATTCTTTGTATATATTTCTGAATTGAGAAGAGGCACTGAGAAATACATACCAGGCAGTTACAGGTTAAGGATCATTTACATAAATTAGCAAATTTGCAAATGAATTCATCTAGTGAAAAGTAAGACACGGGACACTGCATTTTAATAATTGACATTCCACATGAAATGCAATGTTCTTGAGGAGGAAATTGAGCTCCAGGTTGCTATTAGAACCAGCGGAGCAGCAAGAGTTGGAAAGAAATGCCATCTCATATAATGCGAGTTACTGCTCCTGCATAACAACTATCTTCTATTCTGATGGACTTTATTTTAATAAAACTAGTACTAGGATTTTTACAGAAGAAAAATCCAGTCATGGATAACACTGGCCAGTAAACAAAAATGCAAGAAGTCTTTGTGATCTGGTTCTAACAGTCAGCTAATAATTCATTATGCTCTGACATAATCTTTCTTCTTCGGTTTTATTTGGCGGCCAAGTCTCCTTACTTTTCAGCTATACCAAGTAGTTGCAAGCTTACCCCAAAGTATGCAACACTGACAGAAAATTATAAATTATCTAATTTTTTTGTTCCCTGTCACAACATAGGTTAAATTGCAAAATAAAGATAAGTGATCCACTTAGCTGCTTCCTGCTGTCCTGATCAGTTTAAGAACACATTATGTTACAAATATTGTTCTTGTACAAAAGTAATGACTTTCATAAGGTGCTAGTCAGTCATTCAAAGTCACAATACTTTCATTGTATGCCATAAATACAAATTATATGCTCACAGAGAGATGGGAGCAAATCTGTCCCTAGTAATGTTTCTTAGTATAATTTAAAGATTAAATTTAAGTGAACGAAATAATTCTCTCCATGATACACTTTTTCCACAATCACATAGAGTAAGTGTGCCATTTCAGTGAATGCCAGCAAAATTTCTCTTCTTTTAATATTCCTAAATACTGATGAGAGAAAGTGTTTGTCTTTAATCTGACTACAACTCTGACATCGTCCATAGGGAGTACTGTGCTCAACTTTCTGAACCGAAAAGATAAAGCAACAGACTACTGCTACCTGCAAACAGTGTTTGACATTTGGTCATCCTAACATCCTTTTCACTTCTTTTTTTATACAATCTATTGCAGGAAGACGGACAAGCTGGCAAAGTTCTCTTCCCCTTTGCTTCTCTCCCTTGTTTAAGGAACATGAGATATTTTAATTCCTGAACAGTTTGAGAAGTCCCTCTGAATGAATCAGCTGCATTAATATTATTTATTTTATCAAAGGATTCAGCTTCTTGAAATACAAACATGATTCTTACCTATAATGAGCTCAGACTCAATAAATGGGTAGACCGACATCCCTTCTCTTCAGTATTTTGACACACACTGTGGAGCATATATACATACAGGTAGAGCAAGTACATTTACAGATTGCAATGATGCCCTAATAAACGAAACTCACTGCCCTTACTGGCACAGGAGCAAATTTCTGTAACTATTATGCCCTTTGGTATGACTTTAGTGAGAAGTATTCTCTTGTACTGATTAACAGATTGAATGAAGATAGCTTCCATTTTTAACTCCGTTCTTTATGAGACAAAAATAACTGCCATATTAATGGGAACAATCATGTGGTAGAATTATTTTACAATAAAGAAGAAAGCAAGCAACTCTTGGACTTTTTTCCCAACTCAGAATACCCTTTCCCCACCAAAGCAGCAGATAGTGACCTAGGCCAGACAGTTCCCTGAGCTGTATACTATGCAGAGTAGTCAATAGGCTTTGCAGAAGGCAATAGCTTCACCAAATAAGACTTTAGCTTTAAGAGTGCAGTAACAGTGCGAATGCCTTTTCACCAGGGTGTCACTGATGGATCTGTGCAGCTTTTCATGTATGCATGCTGCAAACTCTTTATATTTTTACATTCTAATAACAGTGAACAGCATAAATTATCTCTAATTCTTGATTCTGCGAGGAAGCAGCCATCTGGTCTAATACCACTGTGACAGTGATATAGGACTGAACACTCTGTGCTTGGTCTGCTGCACAGAAAAGGACAATAGGACATATTTTAAAATGTCAGGATACATCAGAACCATATTCAGGAAAGTTTGCATTTATGAAAATTGATAGTATTGGAGATATATCATGATGCAGATCTAATCACGGCTGGTGGTATGGTGAATTAAATTAAGAGCTGATTTGAATTTTTCTAATTAAAGATGTGTTATTCCTTCTCTCCTCTTTTGGTGAAAGAAGCTTATTAAACAATTTTCAGGAATGCTTTGCGATTCAAAGGGTTAAAGCATTAGCAAAATAATTCTAGTTTGACTGTCTCAGTGCGATATTCAATGGGCATTTGTTCGTATTCCAAAATCCTTGCGGATGTTTGCTTAATTGTTATTGTTTGAACTAGATAGTCTTTGTAATAAGCTTGCCCAGGTACTGCAGGGTAGGATGGCACGTAGGCACAGCAGCTTAGCAGAGCTAAGCAGAGCTGTACAGGCATTTTTCTGTGTGCTCTTTCCAGCCTGAGAGAGCTCTTTCATCTGCCTGCTTTCAATGCCTACAAATACAAGCATAAGGGAAAGGCAAAAAGAAAAATAAATTTGACTTATGTGGGAGTAAGCGCACTTAAAAGGTAAGCTAACATGAAATAGATCAAAACCTCAATCAACTCATGAGTTGTCCCAACAAATTAACTTCAGCTTTGCTGTAATGCTTAGTTGCTTAAGTAGCTTGTTTGTTTAACTTCTGTTTAAAGTTTTTTTTAAAAATGCCAAATATTTTCAAGACTTCAAGACATCAGGAACTTAAGAGTGTCATTTTTAGGTGTCACGTAGAATGTATTTCCATCGTTAGTTTTGATGGCTTTAAGGAACTTACTGTATTATTTAAAAAATAAACATGAAATAGTTCTTTTCACAGCATGAATAGTAGTTAACCTACAGAGGTCAAAGAGTTAAATACTGTAATGGGATTTTTAAAGGGACTTCTTAATTTTATGACCAATAATATCATTTGTAATTTTATGTACTAGGAGGGGCAATCAAATTCATACTCCAGGGTGTTAGCTGATCACAGGGATAAGAAACAGTCCTCTCATCCCTTTTTGCCATGTAGGACATTGTGTAATTAGCCAGCTGTTTTCTTTGAAGCACCTAACATAGGCCACTGGCGAAGGCAGAATTCTGAGCTTGACAGATAATTGATCCAATCTGGTTTGGTAACTACGTTCACTTGTCCACTCTTAAAATTAATATTCTTTCAAATAGAAGATGGGGCATTTCTGAGTTTTTCACTTTGCTCTCTGCTTACCAGCATGCCAGAGGTATGCATTCCACGAGTTCTTTCAGAAAGTGGTCCTTCTGCAGCTGATGTCGGCGTATTTACTAGTTAGAACTCTCCAGTGCTGTGACTACCCTTAAGCCTGTGGAGTAGAGAGAAATACTGCTTGCAGGGCATTATTCTTAAGGATGTTGTACGCCAGTTTTGCTAACTCATGTTGTCAAATGCTAAGGCATGCCTGTATTGTCAATCCTTCTTGCCAGCTCACCTTCCCGCTACCATAACATCCCTTAAGTGCTAGAATGATGCTTTCAGGAGCACTCTTAAAGAGGCAAATGCAAACATAATATTATTCATTAATATAAAGGAAGATAAACCAAAGCAACGGATAGTGAGCTTAGCCCAGCCCTTGCCTTTGCAGGGACAATTTCCTGTGATATTTCTTCATTCACAGCATTGGAAATAGTCATACATATACTGTAAGCAAAGGAAGCACAACTTCAAGTGTAAGTATGGAAAAATGTGAAAAGTTAGGTCTGGCATCATTTTGCACACCAAATTTTAGAGAAAAATAATGCAGGCTCTGGCTAGAATCTTGCGTTTGTGTGAAGGAAGAGGGAAACTTGTGTGTGCCAGGAGTAGAAATGGCCAGCACCAGCATGAATAGTTAGAGGTTTTCCAAAGCTGGATGGGAAATTAGTTGATTTATATTTGCTTAAAGCTTTTTATTAGAGCTTGAGGGAAGAAAAAAACCAAATGTTAGCCTACAGTCATGATACCTGCAGATGTTTCATTTTCTTTGTTAACTTTCAGATAGATCATGTGAAAGGCAAAGTTTCTAAAGATTATTTCCTTGAGGGTTTTCTTCTGTTACAGTCCCAAGTGGTTATGATCTTCTAGATTCACACAGACACTAAGAAAGCTTATGAATTCAATTAATTTGTTATTGTATACCCTAAGCATGCGTCAAGAAACCGACTAACCCAGTGGTCTCCACTCTTGTTGCTTTGCTGTTTCAGAACCAAAGTAAAATCTAACCAAATCTGTTAGGATCTAAGCTCGAGCCACTTCTCATTTTTGACAGAATAAGCAGAAGCAATGCTGGTTCCCCAAATCCCTATCAGACAGCTGCAAAGCAAAGAAAAAACAAAAAAAAAAAGCGATCTTGGAAGCTGGAACTAGACAGAAATTGAATAAGAACTTGTGGTTATCTCCCCTCTATGTATATTCTTTGATACCTCCATCAATGTCCTGTGTGTATATGTTGAAATCAAGTTTTGGAAAGTCTCTGAGTTTTTAGTTTCTTTTCTACTCCCATATTTTACACAGGGACTCTCTGTGACCAGTCAGTACACCCAAAGTTATGCCTGAGCTTTTCTAGGTCATCGTTGCTACAGAGACCCATAGGGGAAGCCATTGTCCCTTTCTGGTGCTGCCTCTGCTGGTTTCTCACCACCTTGTGAGCCCATTCAAAACAATGAACTAGCAGAAAACTAACGTGGCAAAAAAAAAAAACCAACCCTGGATAATTTTAATTCAGTTTGTGAACTGAATGAGGTTACAAAAAAAGGAGTGGTGGGGGATGGACTTGGGAGAAATCAGTGGGACATACAACAGTCTCTTTTCTTGACAGTAAGTTTCATCATTTCAGCCACGGTGTCTAGCATGACTCAAGATGTCTGGAATTGGAGAAACACAGTTACTGTTAAATGGCATTATTTTTAAGATGTTGTGCTTTGATCTAATCAGGTTTCTTAAGGCAAAGGAAGTCAGGGCTGGTCAGACAAGGTCACTCACTTCCTTTTCCTATTTTTCCTTGAGAAGCCAAAGCTAGCATACTATTTTGTACCTGCACCACTCAGTCAGAGAGGCTGCGAATGTGCAATAGTGAGTGTTACTTTTGGATGAGATACCAAGCCAGAGTCTGGCTTGGTTCTAATGTCTGGACATAGTTTGGTTCTAATGTCTGGACCAAGACCCTCAAACATCTGCTAATCAGACTCAGGAAATGCTAATGAGATGAGAGTTTACAACAGGGGTACTGCTAACAGGTTGCTGTGTAACCAAGCAAGATCTCGTGTTATTTGTCATCTTCCCTGAACTCTTCTACATCTGGATAGAAGTTGCATGTGTTCATTCACACAAGTTCACAGATAGTAATAAACTAAAAACTGGCAGTCTTTTCTCTCTCTGGACAGTGCAAAATAGTTTATATGTGCTGTTAGTTAGAATTTCTACAGGTTTTGTTTTAGGAACTCAAAGCATAACCCATATAAAAATGTTATGGAGTAATTTTTGCAATCTGTATATTATAGAGGGAACTTGAGTTTCTCTTTGAAAAGCCATCATTGTAGTGGTCAGACTACTCATTCTCATGTATTTTTTCTGTCTTAGAAACGTGACAAACAAGACGGAAAGAAAGAAAGAAAGAAAGAAAGAAAGAAAGAAAGAAAGAAAGAAAGAAAGAAAGAAAGAAAGAAAGAAAGAAAGAAAGAAAGAAAGAAAGAAAGAAAGAAAGAAAGAAATCTATAGTACCTTCCATGCTTGAAAAGAAAATATTAGAAGCCTGACAGGTGTTGACAAGCAAAACATTCGTTAGTGAAGCATGATATTAATTATAAAGTTTACGTCCTTTGTTTTGATCCCTGCTTTGTCTCAGGGTAATTTTCAGGTAAGAAGCACTTGCTTTTAAAGTCTGCAGGAAAAAAGAGAGGAAGTTTTTGGCAGGATTATAAAAAAATAGAAGATGAAATCAGGCTAAGAGTACATCCTGATCTACAGATCATTTCTCTTTTATTGCGAGCTACACCAGCACACTTAAATCCTCCACAGATAAGAAATAATTAAGTTAACACCACTAAAAATGATATGTAATATCTCAATCAGTGAGAATTTTTAAGTGGGAACATGGGGAATGAAACTAAAATAAAATAGACCTTTGGGTTTCCTGAAGTTTAAGTGAAAGACACATTCACACAGATGCAAATACTATTGCACTTTAAGAGTAAGTTTGTATCATCTGTTATAATAATCACTATATCTACCAGCAAAGTAATGACTTTTCAGTGGCATACTCGCTCTCCACTTATATATTTTTCCTCAGTCCTCAACAATGTTCTGTTAACATGATAATGATTAAACAATTCCCTTAAGGAGGCTACAAAAAAAGGAATGAAGGAAGGAAGGAAGAGAGAGAGAGAGAGAGAGAGAGAAAGAAAGAAAGAAAGAAAGAAAGAAAGAAAGAAAGAAAGAAAGAAAGAAAGAAAGAAAGAAAGAAAGAAAGAAAGAAAGAAAGAAAGAAAGAAAGAAAGAAAGAAAGAAAGAAAGAAAGAAAGAAAGAAAGAAAGAAAGAAAGAAAGAAAGAAAGAAAGAAAGAAAGAAAGAAAGAAAGAAAGAAAGAAAGAAAGAAAGAAAGAAAGAAAGAAAGAAAGAAAGAAAGAAAGAAAGAAAGAAAGAAAGAAAGAAAGAAAGAAAGAAAGAAAGAAAGAAAGAAAGAAAGAAAGAAAGAAAGAAAGAAAGAAAGAAAGAAAGAAAGAAAGAAAGAAAGAAAGAAAGAAAGAAAGAAAGAAAGAAAGAAAGAGAAAGAGAGAAAGAGAGAGAGAAAGAAAGAAAGAAAGAGAGAAAGAAAGAAAGAGAGAAAGAGAGAAAGACAGAGAGAAAGAGAGAAAGAAAGAGAGAAAGAGAGAAAGAAAGAGAGAAAGAGAGAAAGAGAGAAAGAAGTCTAGAAAAGGAAAGAAAAGAAGGAGGGAGGAAGGAAAAGAAAGAGAGGAAAAGACATTTCCAGTATACTTTCTGGTAGAGTTTTCAGTAAAGGACTCATTAAGATACCATAGGAAGCATGTGGAGGATAATTACTTAAGAAAAAGCCAAATGGTGCAACATTACCGTAAGCCAGAGGAAGAAGGATATGAAATGCTGTGGGCACCTACACCCATCAGGACAACTGAGAAGAGGTAGGTGGCCATTTACTGCTATGATACCTATTTCACTTTAAAAGATTGAAAATGAGGGATGGGAGGTTTGAATCAGAAATGCAAATGACACATTTTTCTATGATACCCTGATGTCCTGCTAGCAAGTATTTTCCAATCCATCAATCAGTCACTCAAGTAGTCAAAATCTTTAACCACATAAAAATCTATTGAGAACAAGTTTTATTTACAATGGTGACCTGGCCGAGAAAGCTCACAAACAGCAATATGTAACATCACTTACAGACATACAATCACTATTGTATATTACTAGAAAGCTCCCAAACATATCACCAGGCATAAATCAATTATATAAAATACCACAAACATCAAATAAACCAATAAAAGAGGGAAGGTCATAACACCACCAGACATGTCATGAATAACAGCCACAAACATCAGCCAGTGATTCATCCACAGTATGAATAAAACCCCAAAAGATATACAAGCAATTCCTGTTAGATCCTTTTGTGTCCTGTTAAAAATGTGTTACTGTCTTTTGATGTTGTCTGTTTTGCAATATTATGTTTCACTAAGGGCTTTGACTATCTTTAAGGTCTACGTTAATTAAAATTGGGGGGGAGAGGAGGTGTTACATAAATGTGCATTTTACTGTATATGTTTTGCTTAACAATTCAATGCGTATTTTTCCATGTTTCCATTTGCATCTTATAATCAGTAATACTTTGCATTTAGTAATATAGTTCACAATATTATTATAGTTTGGCTTACTAAAAGAAATTGAACATAGAACACAATGGGAGGCATAGTCTGGTATCATTGTTATTGTCATTTGTGTGTGTCCCCTCCACCCCCGACCTGGATTATGAACATAATTCAAAAGCCACTAAGATTTGAAGAATGCGACCTCCAGGTAGTTAACGTCTCTTAGAATTTGCACCAGTATTTGTATATTAGCAACAAACAACACATATAAAACCACCATTAAACTTGGTCTTTAGAGACCTGAGAGCTTATACATACATAGAACAGCATTATCTGTAATGATTAAATGTGATGATTGCAATCAATGAATTTTTAAATGCCAGATCGTGGCTTTCTTAGTGAGTATGTCTGTATGTCTTACTCCCAGAAGCCAATGCTAAATGCTTACCAGTCTAGCAGGGTCCTATTCCTTTGTACTTGAAACTGGAATATACATTTACAGTTTTGCAAGGACCACAAGAGTTTAACCTTCACAAATTCTGTTTTATTTGATAGTGCCGGACACATGGTGTTCAGGTTGCATTCAAAGCAGATGTCTCTTCTATTTGAATGAAATTTTATGAAATAAATAATATTGAATATGCTAAATGCCACCCCTGCTTATTATCCCAATTAGTCAACATTATTACAATGTAAATAAGAATTAACTTCAATCACACTTGACAGAAAAATAGGTATCATATCTCATCAGATCCTGTGCTCAAAAGGAACATCTATGAGCAACTCACAGCTTACAAGGTGGTGATGATACTGTCCACCATCTACACTCCAGTAGTGCTCAGCTGGCGAGACATCAGCAAGAAAAGCCTGTCTCCTAACTTGACAACAAAAAACATTTTATTGCTGAAAATGAGATTTGCATTTAAAATTCTTTTATAACTAAACTGAGTGTAATTGTATGGAAAAAGTGGGTGAAAACGTTTGGTTTATTTATATACATCCTTTTCCAGACATGGAGGTTACTCTGAAATTCAGAATAAATAGATCATCCAGACTCTAATCTAGATCCCCTGCTTTTAAACTGATGATATTGGCTGAAAATCAGAATGCCATCATTTCAGATTAGTCATTTTTTCTACATTGGTAACATATGCACTTAGAAGCTAGTTCTGCACATTTAAAAAAAAATTCCAACCCTTCCATGCATGCATTTTTCAGACACAGACCAAGCTAGTATATGCTAACGCCAAGTAATTTGTTTTGCAGCATGTCACATAATTCTCTTTTTTTTACACCCAATATCTATGATTAAGAAATGTAATACATACTAAGAAAGTCTTAGATAATTTACACGATGCATTAAAGTGTTTTGCATGAGAATATAGTATGATGCAGACAGCGGAAGAATTATGTCTTTCATTAAAAGGTTTGCAACTCAGTGTGCTATGATATAACTATAGCAGTTTTTCTGTCTCAGTGAAGGTTTTTTATTTTAAACACTGCCTTGAAAACCAAGGGATGCATATGCAATAGCACTACTTTAGCTATATGTTTTAACTTAATATCACCTCTTAGTAATTACACACTGTCAGTTTACCTGCTGTCCTAGGGTTATGGGTGAACAGCCATGCTGTCACTGTTCTTCATCTCTCTGAATCTTGATGTAAGCAGTAAAATAAGATGGCATTTTTTCATTATTTAACCTTTTTAAAAAAATCCTAGTTCAAAGCCTATTTGAAGCAGTTCATCAAGAATGATATACATTAAGGTCAGGATTAAAAGAAAACCAATTACATGAAAGAAATATTATTTTTGCCACAGATCCTTTATGTGCAAATTAGGATGTGTATTTGCTGCCTAATTTAGAAAGCACCAAAGGACACCTTACAGGGATGTAGAGTAGCCTTTGGAGGAGTTCAGCTTTTGTGTTTTATGAGGAATTAAAGCAGGCAAGAGGAATGGTGCATTTAGCAAGAAGGCTTGTGTTTGGGGTAAAACCTCATCATTGCTCAGCATGCTTTGCACTATCCGCAAAAACAACTTTAGGTGTAGATTAGCAGCTTGGAAGCTTCTCTGGCTTGGAGTAATCTCCAAATGTGGCACTGTGCATATAGGCTGTTCTGCATCCTATTCATACCATAACTGTGGTGCTGGCAGAATAAAAGGCAGAGCTCTAAGCTGATGCAGCATTTTGATGCTGTCTGACTCTAAGAGCAGTTATAAGACAGAAAAGGTTTCAGCTCTTTGCTTTTCGGAGTCTGTTTCAGAGGCAATACAAACCATGCTTAGAGCCTTGCTTTCCTCTTCCCTCTCTCCCATCCACTGAAGTTAAGAACAACCTGCTGCAAGAGTTCCTACCTGTATTCTCTTTCTTACATTGTCTTCTCATCACTTTTCTACTGCATTTTGATTCTTCATATTTTTAAACTAAATATTTGCTTGGAATACGAAGCTATGAAGCTGTTCTTTCTTTCCACGTTAAAAGCCTGCTGCTGTATTTTCAGGAAAAAATGGATTGTACTTCTTTGTAACATCTAGATATCATAACTGGCATTTTATTGAACTTTTATCTCAGCATGTCAATCAGCATGATAGGTAGTTGCTTCACACCCTCACCAGCTCTACCTAGGTCTAAGCATCTACAACATCAGGGGGTAAGTGGGGATATTTTGTTCCCTGCTTAATGCACTGTTACTTTTGTTTAGTTTGTGGTGCTTTAATCTTAAAATATATTTGAGCTTCTAGTGCAGATAAGTATGGTAATGCCTATCTAAGAATGGTGATTACAAACTAAATTGCAGGAGATTGAGTTTCACTTTATAGTAATTAATATTAGCTGGTATAATAGCTAATACTATTTTAGCTCAGTGGTAAAAAAGACTGCAATACCTAGCACTTAAACATAGCTTCTCTATTTTGCTACTTCTGAATAA